GGGATGTGGATCAGTGGTAAAGCCCTCAACGGGCAAGTGTGCGGCCCTGAGTTTGATCACCAGCACCGCATGCTCCCCAGACCCTTGGCCAAGCACCACTGGGCGTCATCACTGAGCCATCAAGTTGATACTAAGCCCTGAGCACCACTGGCTGCAGCCCCCAAACAAATCAAAAGACAGTGTCTGACCGAAAGGGAGCACTGGGTAAGCATCAGCTATTAATACTGTCATCATTCATGATCACTATTATTTAGGGATTCAGTTTCATTTAATAACGAAGGAACAGAATACTGTGCAACTGTTCCAGATCTCACAGAGAATTTGTGTCTGCAAGAGAAAGTGGCCCCAGTCCATGGGCTGGGTGGGGAAGGAAAGCTGTCACGGGAGGGATGGGCATTTAGGTTTCCTGCGTGAAAACAAATGCCTCAAAAAGAACAGGACAAGCTTTCGCCTCTCTGCTTTTCCATTTTTGAAAAGAAAACACATTGTTTAATAATAAAAGTAATAACACTGACATAGCTTCTCATTTTCCAAAGTGTATTCCTCTGATCCCATTTTTAGACTCATTTAACTTTTAATGAGCAGTTTATTAAACTGCTATTCTGCCTTTGAGCCACAGTACCTACTACACAAAATCCTGGAGTTTCTCTACTTTCCTGGAAAAAACAAACTTTCCACTAAAAGATCACCCTTCACAAACACCTTTGCTCACAAGCATGGAATTGGTTTCCCCAATCTGGGGAAACAGAGACCCCCTAGATCCATTTTGATATCCAAGGGTTTTTCTGTTTTGTTTTTTAACAAGTAGCTTTAAAATGTGATATTTAAATTAATGGCACAGTGTGGTCAAGTAGGATAAACCAATAGTTCTCAACCTTTCTTTCCCACCAAGGTCCCTTTTTTTTTTTTTTTGCTTTTTGGGTCACACCCGGCGATGCTCAGGGGTTACTCCTGGCTCATGCACTCAGGAACTGCTTCTGGCGGTGCTCGGGGGACCATATGGGATGCTGGGAATCGAACCTGTGTTGGCCATGTTGGCTACGTGCAAGGCAAACGCCCTACCCGCTGTGCTATTGCTCCAGCTCCGGTCCCTTTCTGACTGCTTCCTTCTTGCGTCCTCCCCTGGTCCTAATGTTGGCCCCCTAGTCTCATGCTGTGGCCCCCTATTCATGTAATGTTCACCTCTGACCACCTTAGAGTATCCTCACCCACTGGGAGGCATCTGGACTGCAACTGGGAAACACAGGGACAGAGCATGAGTTCAATCAGGAGTTTCAACCACCCACCTGGCTAACTTTCTTGGCTATCTCATTCTAAGTATGTGAGTTAACCATTCTTGGCCACACACAGCCTGCATTTAGATTCCAAGGCAAGGCAGCTGCGGCTCCCCTGCCAGCCATGCTCTGCCTCTTACTGGATAAAGATCCTGAGCTCACTGTCACCCAGATACAAGCCTCCCTCTCCCAGCTCCCCTGAAGTCAGTCCTGGCTTGAGGACTTCAATCTGGCCATTAGCACATGCAGGTGTATGATGCGGGGAAGGTTCTGGTAACCAATGACCCAGGAGCACCTTTCTCTGTCCTTCTGCAACTCTCCTTCATTCAGGCCTGTGACTCGGATCAAAACGTTGGTGCGTTAGCAGCAATCTTGGACTGCAATGCCACCCCAAGTCATATACAAGGATGGTGATATGTAAACTAGGACTCCTGACCCTAGTGACACTGCAGAAGTACCCTAACGCCCTTCAGGCTTCCTCAGAAACACAAAGGAATTAATACCTAAACCACTTTTTGGATCAAACCTTTTGTAACAATGAAATACTTATCACCTACTACTTTTTCTCCACCAAAGCCGTACACATACACATACACACACACACACACACACACACACACACACACACACATTATTTTCTCTAATGACCCAAAGTCAACTAGCACACAGATTCATAGAATTCTGTCCTCATACAATGATGACCCTAATTCCCTAATTCAATTCTCTAGAATGCCTAATAAAAGAGGCAATAGACCTGTGTTCTGGGTCTGCAAAACACAAAATTATGACTCTCAAACCAGAGGTAGAGAAGTCATATGTTTTACTGTGGAGGCAACATGTCTAAAATGATTTTCAAGTCAGGCACATACAGCAATGGAGGAAAAACAATGGTGCCATCAAAGCTTGAGGATATATATATATACATATATGTGTGTATATATATACATATACATATATATACACACACATATGTATGCACATATACTGTGTGTGTGTATAGCTCCAATCCCACGCTAACATTCACCCAGTTAGAACGGCACAGCACTACCTACACTCACATGCAGAATTTATAACACACAGAAATATCAGCATACATAAAGAAGCAGGGCTTTGCCCCTTGGACTGTGGCAGTGGTCTTCAACCACTGGTTCATAGACAGGTGCCTGTCTATAAGTGTAAAACACCAGACTAACACCCAAGAATGGCTGAGATTAGTACCAGGAATTTTACTCCATGGCTTGGAGGCCAGCCACACATGCTAGGGGAGCTCAAATCGAGAAGGGAGCACCAAATAAAGGGTCTTGGGAGGATCCTCCCAGTATGGGAGAAGCATGCCGAAAGTAGACTATAGACCAAACATGATTGTCACCCATTACCTCTTTTGCAAACGACAACACCCAATAGGAGAGAGAGAACAAAAGGGAATGCCCTGCCACAGAGGCAGGGTGGGATAGGGGTGATGGGGGTGGGAGGGATACTGGGATCCGTGGTGGTAGGAAATGGGCACTGGTGGAAGGATGGGTATTTGATCATTGTATAATTGAAACCCAAGCACAAAAATTTCTAAGTCTACAACTGTACCTCATGGTGTCTCACTAATAAAAATTTAAAAAAAAAAAAACACCAGTAGAGATTCCAGAATGCCACACTGTCTCTCAGTTTCTTTCTGGTCAATAGCAGAGCACTAGAAGTGAGCAGTCCCCTTGGTAGGGCCTGGACTTCCAATAAAGGCAATTAGAGCTTAAAAGTGTGGCCTCAATTGAAGAACTTCATAGAGGCAACACATACCCTTCTGTTATCTGAGCCTGCTTTTTTTTTTAATTGTCTTGATTATAGAACATTAAAGAACTTTGCCCAGTTCTCCCAGCAAAATAAGAAGGGAAAAAAAAAGAGAGAAAAGAAGGCGATTCAGCTTCCATCTTACATTTTCCGTCGATACATCTGTTTATTCTTATCCCATCACCCAAAATGATCTCTGGGTAGAAAATTACTTTAAAAGAGGTCAATTTAGTGTAGTCATTTAAAGAACAGACTTTCGAAGGAAAGATAATTATGTGGTAAAGAGGTTAATGGCAGGAGGCAAGGAGAAATCAGACTTTATTTTATGTAACTTAAATCCTGCACACAGATTATAGCCACGAGTCACTTGACCACATTGCGGTCAATGCTGATTACATACAGGAAGGCAGTCCTGAGACACAGCATCAGTGTGAAGCAGGCCGCCCCAACCAGGTTTGTGCACTTACACTCGACTACATTCACAAGGCCGTGAAATCACCTAATGACATATTTCTCAGACCGCAGCCCCATCATGTAGTGACCCATGACTGGGCATCTAATATACAAGTCTCAGTGGCCGGGAGATGGTTCAAAGGGTTGAGGTACATGCCCAGGATACATAGGGTCCCACATTTGATCCCTGATATAGCATGACTCCCCAAGACCACCAGGTGGAAGCCTGGTGTACCCCAAATATTGCCAGGAGGCTCTTCCCCTGGCCCCCCAACAAATATATCTCATCTCTCATATTCTCACAGGGAGAAATTTTCTACTATGTAGGAGAAAGAGTGTATAGGTAAAAAAAAAAATGACGTTAATGTGTGCAATTTTAAAGTAAATTCAATAGCATATTTGTATATACAAACTAGAGAGATCTTCAAAATAACTGCAAGAATATTCCAAATATAGTATCATTATGGTGGATTATCTTCCTCTTCATTTTATTTATATGTATACATTTTCATGCAACAACCAAAAAATCTACTTATATCACTCCCAAATGTACTTTAAAAAGGAAACAGATCATCAACAGCATCAACAGAAAAAATAAACCATATCTGAACAGCTTGGAAGCCGAGTCTGAAGGATTTCTGGGTTTTAAGCCAATGGAGGCAGAGAAGAAAGTTTCTGAGCACACACAACGTCTAGGTCTCAGGTCTTCCTCCCTGGGAAGGATGCTCAGGATCCTTCCAGTACAAACTGCTGAACAACTGCTGCCTCTCTACCACTCCTTTCCAGCAAAGGAAAGCACAAATTACCACATAAAAGCAGCCCATTCCCAGTCACTGACAATGCAGCCAAAGAAAGAGATTGCCTTCTCTACCAGCTCACCACCTAATTATATCTAACACTTGCTTTTACAATCAGGTTTATAGATTCTGGATGTTTCAAAACACAGTTCCTGCTCAATTCCCAGCTATTAAACACTTGGCAGTTATGGAAATTTATAAATTCGTCCACCAATTAATGAGGTTCATCCATCCTGGGCTATAAAGAGGTCTGTGACCCAAGTCACTGGCATTGACCTCTGAACCTAAACCACTGGCCTGCCATTCTGAATACCCCTTCTCTGTGAAGGAGGTACCTCAAATGTTTAGGGAAACATTCAAACAAGTCATGCAGGTTTGAATTACCAGCTATTCCACCAAAGAGGATGATCCCTTTGAGATTATAAGAGACACCACTTCCCTTGAGTGGGAAAATTCATCTATGGGTTTTTGAGTTTTGACTTTCTGTAGTAGATAGCATCACACCTTGTCAACCCAGTGTGTTGGGAGGCACTCAGCCCTATCCCACGGCCCCTCATCCTTCTCTCCTCATGGTTCCCAGAATCAATTCTACCCCTGTGTTTCAGCTGCCGGAGAGGAAGAATTTAGACCGGGAGTTCTAGGACCCTATTAGAAGGTACACAACTAGGAACTTGCCAGCCCATTACCCCATACTCACTGTTGCTGGACTTAAGGTCACGATGGATGATGGGGACAATGGCCTCATCATGTAAGTAGTTCATCCCTCTGGCAATCTGTACAGCCCAATTCACCAGGATGTCCGGGGGGATCCTCTTCCCAGACAACACTCTATTCAGCGGTCCTCCACGAGCAAACTCCATGACCAAGCAGAGATTGGGTTCCTTCAAACACACGCCCCGGAGGGCAATGATGTTGGGGTGCTTCAGCATGGCAAAGAGCTTAGCTTCCTGACGGACATTCTCGATGGTCTGGCTGATGTCCTCATCAGGGTCGTGGCGAGCGGCTTTCACGGCCACCTCCTCCCCTACCCAGAACGCTCGATAGACCTTCCCAAAGCCCCCGATGCCAATGATCTCTTCCAACGTCAGCTCCGCGAAGTCAATCTCTAACACTGAGAAAAGACAAGGGGAAAAGAAGCAAGTCAGAACTGTGGTCGCCCATTGACCTGAACTGTCACCACTGCTCAGTCGGGGTTTTGGCCTCCCCCATGACAAGGTAAGACCCAGAGAGGCAGGGAAGGTGAAGCATTCCTATACGGAAGAACCAGCACACAACATGCATTTGATAAATATTCATTGGCAGGACCAACACTTCTCATGAAAGGGAAAATTGGGGAAGATCATTTTTTTTTTTTGCTTTTTGCTTTTGGGTTACACACGGCGATGCTCAGGGGTTACTCCTGGCTCTGCACTCAGGAATCACTCCTGGCAGTGCTCGGGGGACCATATGGGATGCTGGGAATCGAACCAGGGTTGGCTACACTCTGTGCTATCACTCCAGCCCCGGGAAAGATCATTCTTATGAAACGTCCTCAGCTGTTCCTGCGGGGTGGTAGGAATAGAGGACAAACACCCACTGGTGGCAGGGGATGAGTGGGAGATGCCTACTCAGGAAAGGCAATATTTGAAATGTTTGCCCTAAAGCATGAGTAGGAGTGACCCCTGCAGTCAATGGAGATCAGGGTGGAAAAGGACATTTCAACTGGAGAGCAAGACACGAGCAGGAACCTGGAGCAGGAGAGGACAGCACTCATCAGGCGCTTTAGAGAGCGCCATGCAGCAAACTCGCGTGCATTCAGGTAGGAAATGATGCTCAAAGCCTTGTGTGAGGATGCCAGGTCATGAAATGTTTTAAAGAGAGTTTGTCGGTTGGGATGGGAAATGCGTGCTGAAAGTAGACAAAGGACCAAACATGATATCCTCTCAGTATCTGTATTACATACCATAATGACAAAAGTAGAGGGAGAATATGGGGAATATTGTCTGCCATGGAGACAGGGGGAGGGTGGGAAAGCGGGGGGGGTGGCATATCAGGGATATTGGTGGTAGAGAATGTGCACTGGGGGAGGGAGAGGTGTTTGATCATTGTGTGATTGTAACTCAAACATGAAAGCTTGTAATTATATCTCACGGTGATTCAATAAAATATAAATAAATAAATAAATAAATGAAATGAAAAAAAATACTATTAAAAAAAGGCTAGTCTGAGGGATTTGCACTTCAGTCTGGAAGTTCTGGAAGTGACATGTGCCATCTGCCTTTTCTGCCACTGCACTCATCATACTGAACCTTCAACAGGTGACCAAGGGACAGCTGAAATGACAGTTGAGCATGAGTGATAGTACTAGAGTTAAGGCTCTTGCCTTAACTGGTCAACCCTAGTTTGATCCACGGCACCACAAACTGACCCCCAAGCACCACCAGGAGTAATCCCTGAGCACAGAGCCAAGAGTAAGCCATGAGCAACACTATGTGTGATCCACAAACCTAAACAGCCCTCCCAAACATATACACACCAGAAGGAGGAGGAGGAGGAGGAGAAGGAATAGAAGGAGGAGAAAGAGGAAGAGGAGGAAGAAGAGGAGGAGGAGGAGAGGAGGAAGAGGAAGACAAGGAGGAGAAGGAGGAGGATGAGGAGAAGGAGGAGGAGAGGAAGAGGAGGAGGAGGAGGATCGAGGAGGAACAAGGAGGATTATTGTTGACCTCTGAGTTGGAAAGGCAGCCTCTGTTACACCTCTGGCAGCCGTGTATAACAGAATCCAGAAGAGAGTCCATACATAATAAAAGGAGTCTCTAAGGAGGTCAGAGGTGACCCAAGCAGGTGAGCATGAGGATGTTCCATGGAGCTGGGATCTATGGGGTAGACTGGGAGACTTTCAAAGCCTGATTGTGCAATTGCATTCTGGTGACTAAGACCTGGTGCATGAGACATTGTCCTCCAGCAGCCTTCCAAGCCACAGCTGCATTCCCAGTATTACACATAATTCCCAGTATTACACATCTGTTCACAGTTTGAATCTAAGGTTCTCAGTGATGTCTTTAGCCCAGAAAAGGTTTCCACGAACAGGTAATGGCAACTACCAGGGATTCAAAGTCTTGGGCTACATGTGGTCCTGCTCCATGAGAAAAGTGCTATTTTATGTTTTTCTCAGAAATTTCTGTTCTGTCAACTCAGTCTCTTTGTCTTTACCTGGTTAACTCTTACTTCTTTCTTAGGTTTCAGCTGAAATATCCAGCTCCTAGAGGAACTTTTCCTAACCCCTGAGTCAATAAGGTCAGGCCCCCATGAACCCATGAAGCTCTTCCATAGCAGTCTCTATCTGGCAAGACTAATCAAGGTTACAATTACTTGTTCGGTGTCTGTCATCTTGCTACAATGTAAGATCCAGAGGGTGTGTTCCATCTGTCTTTTCTGCCACTGTACTCATCACACTGAACCTTGAACAGGTGACCAAGAGACAGATGAAAGATGGGGAGGGATGTGAACCCAATATAGATCTGAAAACATAGCAACAACACTGAACCAGACCTCCTGAAACAAATACAGAGAAGAGGCACATTCATCCAACACACACACACACACACACACACACACACACACACACACACACGCACTTCATGGACCAAAAGGGGAAATGCCCACTGCAACATTAAAGTGCTTCCACCGTCCATGCGGAAACCAGTAGTGCTAGAAACTGTTCCTGTTTAATTGTGGTACTTCCCTCCCAGTGGGAGGCTACAAATAAATAGTCATTCATTTGCATTTTGTGATATAACTGGCAATCTGCACAAAGCAAAGTCTTAGAAAAAGAGAGCTGTATAACCGATTTTGAGCCCTGCAAAGTTCCCACTGTTCAAGCTTATCGCCTCATCCACCAAGTCCTCTTCCTAAAGCATGAAAGGTGTGGTGGAATCCATAGACTGGCAATCCTTTTAGCCTGTCAGCACTCCGAAGGCTAGGAAGCTCAAACCCATATTTTTCAGACGTTCCGGTAGCAGGAGCACTGGCTCAGACTAGGTTCTGCCAATATGAAGCATAATATCTGAAGGGTGAAATTCAGTTGGAGGAGCCTGGCAAGCTCCCCGTGATGTATTCGATATGCCAAACACAGTAACAACAAAGTCTCCAATGGAGACGTTACTGGCCCGCTCGAGCAAATCAAAGATCAACGGGAGGGCCTTTACTTTACTTTACTTACTTACACTTGAGCTGCTTCTCATGGGACGCGTGACTACTGAGAGTGGGGTTTCTGCAACTGCATGCCAGTGTCCAATCATTGTGGGTGTGAGGAGGAATGTTGTGTGGCCAAGAAGTTGCCTAATCTCTACACTGCAGCTATAGCAAGGTGTTCTTGCAGTCAACAACTTCAGTGGCAACTGGATCTTCCCAAATGGAGACACAGTCACTCACTGGGTGGGTCAGGTCTATGATGTTCTGGGATCTGTTCTGTCCACCAGCTCACTGGTCTCCCAATTAATTTCATAAGCACTTCCTTTCCTGTCTAAAACAGCTTGAAAATGGACTCCAAAATGAATTATAGGAGAGATTGGTCAAGAGGTAAAGCACTTGCCTTGCATGAGGCAATGTCCACCCATGACCCTGGTTCGAATCCCCGGCACAGAATTATGATCTCGTGAGCACTCCCAGAGCTCACTATTGAATGTGAAGACAGGAATAAGCCCTGTGTACTGGGTATGTGACTCCCATTCTACCCCACTAAAATAAATAAAATGAATATTGTCTGATGATCAATTCTAGCTTTTTCTCATCTATATGAGAAAAGTATGGCTTTGTTTAAGAGAGATTAGATACCCTCTTGGAAATATACATGGTATGAGAGAGGAGAGAAAAAAAAGGATGCTTTCTCCATACCAGCCCCAACACTGACAAAAAAGATATGGAGCTATTTAATAAATCTGCATTTACAGTTACCATTTTCTCAGTTGAGTATTTTCATTCTCCTTAAGAAAATGAACCATTTCCCTTGTGCCCTCCCTTCTCCGCCTGTCTAATGCATTGCTGTGAGCACACAGTAGGTGCTGAATATTTATTACAGCGTGTGAGGACTGAAAAGACAGAATTTTATAGGGGTGCTGAAAGGACAGCTCCTTGAGCGAGTAGCATTTGCCAGAAGGACCATCTCGGTCGGGAAGACAGAGCAATAATAACGCCTTGCTGGACAGAACAAAAATTCTCAGATTCTTGCTACTTTGTTCAGGAAATATCATGACCAATTTTCAAGCAAAGGAACTCAGCTTTCAAAAGATAGAAGATAGAATGTGCAGTAGGCGGGGCTTCCTTCCTCCCCCACTGAACAGGTCCTCTGGGAAGGAGGAAGATGCTTTAGTTACAGTGGAGGACCTTGATTCTCCTTCCTTTCCCTGCTCCAGTCAAGAACTGGTTGTAAGCATTAGGTCAAGTTGTGGTCACACAGTTTTGCAATTCTCTAGAAGGGTATTTTTCAGGACCATTAGGAACATGGCCTTACTCACCAGTGAAATCATAGTATTAACTGCCCCTATTTAGTCCTTGGAAACTAAATATACAGGCATGTCTGGGTGAGTTGGGCTAGGGCTAGGAGCGGGTGAATGATGGGGGAATTGAAAAATCTGAAGTACATCTGAACATAAATCCTTTTATCTTGAATGGATGTGAGAAGATATAAATTAGTAATAACCTTCATGTATACCCTACTGAGAAACAGGCATGACTCTCCAATAATAGAATTTTTTTTTTAAACCTAGAATTACATATCTCTAACATGATAAATTTGGAAGTGCATATTTTTGTCTCTTCACTAAAAGGAAGAAGATGAGCAGGCTCCTGACTTATTTATACACTTGCCAGTCCAGTGAAGAGCTGGAGTCTAACACTGGAGAGAATAAAAGCATTATGTTCATTCAGATTAGTCATTTATGATCACTATTATTTATTTATTTTTCATCAACTTAACAATTTCTCCCTCTTCTGTTTGAAACAAAATTATCACCTTGAAAAGCAGTATTTGAAGCTATAATTGAATATTACCACTTATCTGTCTTCTATTCTTGAGCTAATGTCATAATATATGCCCCAGAGGGTAAGTTCAAAAGGCAACCCAGAAAAAGTTGTCAATGGCTCAAATTCATTCCAAGTTTTTGGAGTCCAGATTGTCAATCACCTTTACTTGTTGAGAGACACTAAGTGAACCAGAAGTGGCCAGAGCTGACGGGTCAGAGGCAGAGTCCTCAGCAATGTCCTGTGCAGCTTTCTCACCGAGCCCAGAGCTAATGCATGTATACCACCCATCTTCCTTGATGCATTCAAGTGACTTCCTGATCTCCCCATTCATTTATTCCCTGGTATTTAACTCAGCTTCCATCTCTCACTGGGTACAGACATTGATCTTTGACTGGAGTCAAGTTTTCTGAATTACTAAGAATAAATTCCAGCCAGGATGCAACCTCTGAATAAGGTGAAACAAAATCCCTCCCTTCAAATGCCATGCTCTTCAAGTCAAGTTTTCAAACAGCAAAGAAACCGGCTACTGTCTCACAATGTGAGTTCAAGATACACAGAATCCACTGTCAGGTCACTGTTCCGGCTGACTCAGTGCTGCGCACCTAACAGACAAGGAACGACTAGCAGAGTGGTACTTGGTCAGTGTGTTTAACCTTCTCTGGGCAGGTTCTCTCAGCCCAGGTCAGTCATGCCTTACTGCTCCAAAAGCCAGAGGCGCACACTGTCCAACTGAGTTCTGCCTCATCAACCTCCCATAATTCATCTACTGAGTCTTTAATGTTTACAGTGGGGGGGAAACCCCACAAACCCTCACCCACTAAGAACCTGAAATCTGGCTTCAGTTTAAATCTACAACTGTGTTTCTTTTTTGTTTTGTTAATTTTTGTTTCAGGACCGCACCTGGCAGTACTCAGGGCTTACTTGTGGCTCTGTGCTCAGGGGCCATTCCTGGCAGTGCTTGGGGACCACACTGTGGTGTAGAGTGAACGAGGTCAGCAGGATACAAGGTAAGCATCTTGGTCCTGTACCATGTATGTTTTCTTACCTATCAGACCTGTCTTCCAATCTGTGATCAAGTTACTCTTCAACCATATTCCCAAGCTATGCTAGAGCTCTCAGCCTTTATCTTCCCAGTACTCGTGTCAAAAACACTTATTTTTGTCAAAGAGCTGGAGCGACAGCACAGCGGATAGGGCATTTACCTTAGCACAGCGGATAGGGCATTTGCCTTTGCACACGGCCGACCTGGGTTCGATTCCTCCGCCCCTCTCGGAGAGCCCAGCAAACTACCGAGAGTATCCCTCCCCCATGGCAAAGCCTGGCAAGCTACCCATGACATATTCAATATGCCAAAAACAGTAACAACAAGTCTCACAATTTGTTGTGAGAAGTTACTGGTGCCCACTAGAGCAAATCCATGAACAAGGAGAGGATAGTGCTACAGTGCTACTGGTGTCAAAAAGATGTAACACTTAGATGGGGCTGGAGCTATAGCACAGCGGGTAGGGCATTTGCCTTGCACGCAGCCAACTATGGCCGACCCAGGTTCGATTCCCAGCATCCCATATGGTCCCCCGAGTACCACCAGGAGTAAATGCTAAGCATCGCCAAGTGTGACCCAAAAAGCAAAAAAAAAAAAAAAAAAAAAAAAAAAAGATGTAACACTTAGAAACAATTTCAAGTAATTTGTTGCTTCCAGGTATTCTTAAGAACTCAATATAAAAAGAGATAAAGAGAAACAAAAAGAGTAATCATCTGAACGCCAATAAAAATGGAGTAGAAAAATAAGGAAAGAGGTTAATATAAATGTTAACATTAAAGGATAGTATTTTAAAAAACATCTTCAGATAAAGTAATGTAAGGTGTTCAGGTGAAAGTTGTAGGGCCAGAAAGGTATCTGTTACACACGAAATTTAAAAACTAAAATTTTAAGGACCAGAGAAATAGTTTCAAAGAGCAGGGTGGCATACAGACAAGCTGGAGGTCCAGGTTTGATCCCCAGTCTCTCATGAACCCTGATGCATGGTCAAGAATAGCTAGGGAGGGCTGGAGAGATAGCACAGCGGGTAGGGCATTTGCCTTGCACACGGCCAACCCGGGTTCGATTCCCAGCATCCCATATGGTCCCCTGAGCACCTCCAGGGGTAATTCCTGAGTGCAGAGCCAGGAGTAACCCCTGTGCATCGCCGGGTGTGACCCAAAAAGAAAAAAAAAGAATAGCTCAGTAGAGTCACCAGATGTGGCCCCAAAACCCAAAACAGAAAGGAAATTAAAAAGCTAAAAGTTTAAAGTTAGGCTCTGTAATCACCTGGATAAACCAATTAAGATACAAAGTATACACCATGAAGAATAAACAATAATAAATATATTTTAACAATACTTTTTTTAACAGGAAACAAAGGAAACCCTGAAATCTAAAGTAGTGCGACCTGCACAACCTGAGAGCTCCTTCTTTGCTCTGAAACGGCCTAGGATAAACGTTTGAGATTCTAGTGGCAATTTAATTCCATTGGGGAGGGAAAAAAAAGAAAATTTCATTACAGAGTGTGGAACTGGATACTCCTGGGAAATCGGTGGAAACCAGGGCATAGAAAGAAATGCCCTGGGAGGGACCCATGGGCAGGGTCCCCCTGAGATGTGGCAAGTACCAAATCCAAGCAAGATTCTAGGATGAGAAGAAGGCAGATGATTTGAACCAGTGTCTGACCAACATAGGCACAGACGCAAGAGACTGGGACTTAGCCACCGCTGTACCTTGCGCCCCTGATCTCTCACAGGGAAATGACACACTTTACCCTCTTTAATCATTTCTCTCTCCCAAAGGCCTGCAAGGGCGCAAGCATGCACGCACGCGCGCACACACACACATACACACAGGCACATTCGCACAACAGAGGCAGATGCACACTCTCACGCAGACACACTCAGGCACACTCACACATATAACATAGGGACACAAACGTCAGACACTGGGACACAGACACACCCACACACTCCCAAAGAAGCCCACACACACTCAAAGGCAGAGACACACAACACAGAAACTCACGATCATATAGACACACACATACTATCTCACAGGTACATTCACTCACACACACACACACACACACACACAAACACACACACTTCTCAGCACATTTTCCAGTGGGTTCCGGTAGGCACGACTTCTGAACTACAATATTAGGATCCTAGAAATCTCACACTTTAGCCAGGAGTTCACACGGGCTCCGGGAGCTGTGAGCCAGCCCCACCGTCGGGGCACACCAGCCCCCCAAAATTCCTCCAGGCAAAAAATAATAATAATGATAATAAAGCCTTTAAGAGGCCAGGTCGCCAAGGTCTCTGATTTGGGGAGTAAGGTTAGGGCAGAAAACACCAGCTTGCCGGAGATCCGTCCCGATCTGGGGGAGCGGTGGTCGTGGCGGGACGCTCCGCACACCAGGAGCGGCGGCCGCACTGGTCAGATGAAGGTTAGGAACCCCGAGTGCCCGGAGAGGTTCCCGGCAAGGCCTGCAGTGTCCGTCGGTCCCGGCTCCTCCGGCGCACACCCGAGAGCCGGCGCTGGCCGAGGGCGCGCGCGCGCGTCCTCACCCCCACCTCCCGGGACCCAGCCGTCCCTTCCCACCCCATCCCGGGGGACCCCCCCCCCCCGGGACCCCGCCTTCGCCTTACACTGGATGGGCGGGTAGCAACTGGGGTCCTCGCCGCCGGGCTGGCAGCGACTGGAGAAGGCGCTGCGCGGGGTCACGTAGTTGCTGGGGAAGATGCCCACCCGCTGGTTCAGCTGCCCGGTCCACCAGCCCTCGTCGCCGGACACCTGCGAGTCCTTGGACAGCACCTCCACCACGTCGCCCAGCCGCAGGGTCAGCTCGTCCTCGCCCGCCGCCTCGTACTCGAACACGGCCGTCCAGTAGGGCAGCGGCGCGTCGGAGCCCAGCTCCCCGGGGGGCGCCGCCGCCGCCTCCTCCTCCTCTTCCTCCTCCTCCTCGGCCCCGGCTCCATCCTGCCCCGGCGGGGCGGCCGGGCAGCCGAGCAGCGCTCTGGAGGGCTCCATGGAGCGGCCGACCCATAGGGTGCGGGGCTGCCGCCGCCCGCAGGAGCCGCCGCCGCCTATTGTTCATGCGGCTCCGCGGAACTGGGGGCACCCCCCCCCCCCGTGCCCTGCCCCCGACGGCCGCCGCAGGTAGGGCCCGGGCTGGCGGGGCGGGGTGTGCCGGCGAGCTGGGGCTGGGCGCGCGGCGGGTCCGGGCCCGCACCTCCGCGCTCGCCCCCTGCCGGGCTCTGGCCGCCGCCGCCGCCGCCGCCGCCGCCGCCGCCGCCGCCGGTACCTGCTAGCGCCGCCGCCGCCGCCGCCGCTCCCCTCTCGGCGCCCCGCCCCCCGCGCCGCGGGCACGCCGGGGACCACCTGACGCGGGCCTGGCCCCGCCCCCAGCCCTGCGCACCCGGGAGGCGGGGCCTCCACACTCGGGCCCGCCCCCGCCGCCGGCGCGTCTCCCCATTGGCCGCCGGCCCGTTACTCCTTCTCGCCCCTGCTCCGGGCGGCCGAGCCTCGCACCTCTGGGCGGGACCGCACGTCGTCGCCCCCGCGTGCCCGCCCCCCACTTCCCGGGCTCTCTCTCTCTTTCTCTCATTCTTAAACTGCAGGTCGACTCAGGCCCTCTCCCATTGGCTCTCGCCGCGGCTCCGACTATTGGTCCGGGGCACCTGTCCATTTCCTGGGTGAGTTCGACACCTCCCGACTGGAGGAAGCTGCGGCCTCATTGGGTGCGTGGGGGATGGATGGGTGGGTCCTAAAAGGTAAAGCCGAGGCTGCTTTCATTCATTCCTAAAAGAGTGGAGGAGGCCTTTCCCTTTGTCTGCTGTAAGTAGGTACGGGCTCCTTTGGGCAGCACCGTGCCTTTGATGCTAAATTGAGGTGTTTTTTTTTTTTTTGAGAAGATCAGAAGAGCGGTCACACACACACACACACACACACACACACACCACTAACACATGCACTTGAGCAGAAGAGCGCTCATACACAACACACTCTACCCGACACCACATCACGTACACACCCTGGAAAGCGCTTTCTTCTGTTCCCTCCTAAATTGAATTCTCCCGTCTTGAATCCGCATTAGTCCAACCGAATGAATTCACTTTTGCTTCTACTCCCAACTCATTTTGTTTTGGGATGACATCCGGGGGGTGTTCAGGGCTCACTCCTGGCTCTGGGCTGAGAGATCCCTCCTGTAGGTGTTCAGGAACCCATATGGGCGCTAGGAATCGAACCCGTTTCGGACGCGTGCCAGGCAAACTCCCTACCCGCTGTACTAAAGCTCAGCGACCCCCTCCCCCGAAACTCATCCTCTGAAGGCGTTTAGCCCATTTGAATGTTCACTAGAAGAACGTTCTCGCCCTAAAGAAGACTGCACACGGTTGGCTCTTTCCAGGGTCCTTGAAAGAAGCAACGCCAATACCATGGTGTTTCAGAATCTGGGCACTAGGAAGCACTTGTGCGGGAGTGTTGAAAAGCTTTTGAGGGTCGAGCGTGGGGTGGGGGTGGGGGGGTGGGAAGCTGCTGGAACTCTTTGGAGACTCAATTTTCCTACAGTCATGGTTTTTTGTTTGTTTGATTTTCCCCCCCAAGGATCTCGGTGACCACTAGATAAATCAGTGTGAGATACGTGGTTGACCAGTGAGGACTGACCTTTTCCCACCAAATTTGTTAGCTGACATTTTCTCTGACATGAAGAACAGCGGGACCCATGGCCATCTCTGGACTTAATCCTATTTTAGCAATATAGGATTCCAGTGAGAAAGTTTGCTGACGTTTCAAGACACTTTGGCTGTTGGTGCTTTAAGATCTGGCTCCACCTCTTCCAAAAGACCTGACCTCCTCTCCTGTGGTTAGGAAGAGGCAGGAAGACAGTACTTCATTATTTTTTGTTTAACTTTTTAAAATCTCTTGTTTGGGGTAAACTGTTAGACAAAGCAAGTGGAGTAAGTTGGGAAATAGCTGGAGCTGGCATCTTCTTTCTGACCCCCTCCCCCCACTCCCGCAGATCCTGGTTGAGCCCTTAATACTGCTCCTCCTTACAGCGATGAGGCTGAGGACCACCCTCCTTTATTGCAACTCAACATTCTATGCTGAAATTTCTTCGTGCCTCCAGCAGAGAACTAGACACATCTCCCGCTTTAAGATTCCAAGAAAGAGAAGAGGACTGTTTTGAAGAACTTCCAAAGTAGATCCTGAAACAGAATTTCTCTGAGGAAATGCCTGAAAACAGTGTTTAGATGCTTAGTGTACGTAGGCTGTGAACTAGACAAGAACTGGGTGAGTCTTTGATTAAATGCTCCAAGAACTGGGTGAGTCTTTGAGTAAAGACTTTGATTAAATGAACTAGACAAGAACTGGGTGAGTCTTTGATTAAATGCTCCAGGTGTTAAGACAAAACTATTCCATCTTTTCACAATAAGATTACGGGGGTTGGAGAAATAGTACAGAGGTACAGATATTTGCCTTGCTTTGAACTGCCAACCCCAATTCAATCCCTGGCTCTGATTTTTCTTTTTGTTTTGTTTTGTGGACACACCTGGAGGTACTCAGGGATTATTTGGTTCTGTGCTCAGGGATCACTCCTGCTGGTGCTCAAGGGACCATATGTGGTGCTTGGTCATCTGTGTGTAATGCAAGTACTACCCAACCCACTGTACTATCACTCTGGCACATTTTTTTTTGTTTAAAGGTTATGGAAATAAGATTTCTGTGATAAAATTTAATTTTTAGAGAAAGGGAATTATTCAAAATCATACACATAAGAGAAGTCATGCATGATAAAATGAAATATAGAACTTTCAAAATAGTAGGGTGATGGGTGATTGGGAAATTTTTTTTTCTTTCTGGGTCACATCTTGCAATGCTTATGCATTACTTCTCACTTTGCACTCAGAAATTACTCTTGGTGGTGTTCAGGGGATCTTATGGGATGCCAGGGATTGAACCCAGGTCAGCCACATGCAAGGCAAGCACCCTACCCGCTGGACTATCACTCTGGCTCTGATTAGGTGGTTTTTACTATCATTTCACTTATCTGTAAGTTTGTGTGTTCTGCTATAGAGTTTAATGAATTCCCAGCTCCCTCACCTCCCCATGCAAAAAGAGATGGAAAATGTATCTTTCCCTCTCAGTAGGAAAAGTCTCTCTCCCCACATAAGGTAATTCTTCAATCCTATGGTGGGTGTTGGGATGTTTCATCTAGTAATTATTTGTTGAATGGGTAAGTGCTAGTAGAAGAGCCCCTGTGGGCTAAATTGGCATAGCAGGGTTCAAGGAAGAGACAGAACCAAGGTTTGTTCTAGAAGCTTTGATTGGGAAGGATGGGAGTGGGGCACATATGGACACAGGCCCAAAGAGCAGAAAACATGAGGCAATTCTGGCTGGAATAAAGGATGAAAAGAAGTTTGGGGGACGGGATTGTAGCGCGCCTTGTAAGTACTTGAATCACACTAATTATTTCATTGATTATTTGTGATTTTTTTTTCTTTTTGGGTCACACCTGGCAATGCACAGGCATTTGCCTTGCACGCAGCTGGCCCGGACGAGCCAGGTTCGATTCCTCCTGGTTCATGCACTCAGGAATTACTCCTGGTGGTGCTCGGGGGACCATATGGGATGGTGGGAATTGATCCCGGGTTAGCCGCGTGCAAGGCAAACGCCCTACCCGCTGTGCTATCACTCCAGCCCTTATTTGTGATGTTTTAACACCTGTTTGTGCACCATCAGGGCAGGTGCCTGTCTGCTTCACAGTTGCCTGGCACTGGCATGGGTTTGGCCCAGCACTTGTTCCCAGGCTGGATATGTGAGGGGTGACTGACCCGAATAACTGGCTAAGAATTGGGGTTTCATTTCACCAAGTAAAGGTTATCACTAAAGACTTCTGAGCAGGCTGTGAGGTGGTCAAATGTCACCATCACTGAACACTCCAATTGATAAGGGTGGAGGATAAGCTACTCTCTATACCACTGGGTTCTTCTTGGGCTTGTTGGGAAATCAAGTTAATATCAGATAGATTTATAGCAGAAAAGAATAAATATTACGCATTATGAAGAATTGACTCCAGCCCAGATATAGCGGTAGGGCGTTTGCCTTGCACGCAGCTGGCCCGGATGAGCCAGGTTCGATTTCTCTGCCCCTCTTGGTGAGCCCGGCAAGCTACCAAGAGTATCTCGCCCGCCCGGTAAAGCCTGGCAAGATACCGATGGTATATTCAATATGCCAAACACAGTAACAAGAAGTCTCACAATGGAGACATGACTGGGCCCGCGCAAGTGAATCGATGAACAGCGGGAAGACAGTGCTATGAAGAATCGACATGTATGTAAATTCTAATGTACGGGGAGCAAAACTTGCACACAGTGCTAAGAATTGACATAGGGGTCTGGGACTTCAAAGAGAGAGGAGAGGGCTCATGTAAAGAGATCAGATACTTGGAATTTAATGTTTTCCAGGCCACGTTGAGAGAGTTGTCCAGTAGAAAGGTAACTTTAAGAGCTAACCTTAAATCTTAGGACTTGTACCAGTTTTCATTCTTCTGGGTTGTTATGTCTTAGGCATATCTTGAGATTGCAAGGCCTTGGATGACCTTAGTTTGAAATAATCCACATGGCAAAATGACATGTCTTATGGAAGTCTGTTCCTGAAATAGATGAGGAATATGGAGTCAGAGAAATAGTGGGTAGGGAGCTTGCCTTGAACACAACAACCTTTGATCCCAAGCAGCCATGTGGTTCTCTGAGCACCTCCAGGAGTGATCCCTGAGCACAAAGCCAGGAGTAAGTCCTGAACACAGAGCCCCTAGGAAGGAAGGAAGGAAGGAAGGAAGGAAGGAAGGAAGGAAGGAAGGAAAGAGAGAGGGAGGAAAGGAGGGAGGGAGAGAGGAAGATAAATAGATGAGGAACACAATTAGGTGAGTGGAGAATAGAATGCCTGAAAGGAAACATTAATGTATGGGTGATATTAGCAGAAATATAAGCCTGCAAAGAAGAGAATTTTCAAAATGGGAGTCCTGGGAAACAAAAATGACCAAGTGAAAGAAGGACAGATTGCAAAAGACTTCGAAAGCCAAGTGGAATTACCAAGATTTCACCATTAGTACATTCTTGACAAATGTTAAGCAAATAAGGGAACATTTTCCTACCACAATTGTAAGTGTAGCATAAGGTGGGCAGAAAATAATAGCAATCAGGGCTGCAATTTGGCACTCGTAAGATCACCATGGTTCACCCTGGCTCTATTCTTTATTTATTTGGTGTTTGGGGTTGGGGGGAACA